GGCGTTTGCAGGGTTACTGAAGTTGGACTACCTGGTATATAATGTTGTGCTACGTGATTGCTAGCGACACAGCTATGTTAGCATAACATTAGCACAGTGAAGCTGGAGGATGAACGCCAACTTTTTTCCCACTCGATAAAAGTTAACATGAGGGATTCTGGTGGTTAAGGACAAATGCAATTGCATAGCAGGATGCTATACACAGGCCAAACTTCAGTCAGGAGAACATAAGATTCTTCATCCACAATACAAGGTAAGTTATTAATATACTGCAACAACATGGGAATAGAAAAGCTGCGAGAAAATTAATGAACATTAATGAATCAATGTTACGGAAGTGGAGGAAGCATAGTTTTTTGACTTTCCCCATATTTCAAAAGTGCTTCATCTCTTTGCTATGACTGTCGCCCGGCATAATTTGCAGATGATAATGGTGGTACCCGCTGTGATGCTTTCGACCAAAACAGGCGCAGCTTGATGACATCATCTACATGCGCTATCGCGGTAGAGCGGTATAGTCAAAATCTCTATCGTTGGCCAAATTTATATCGTTTCTATCGTATATCGTTTATATCGCCCACCCCTAAGCTATAGTACTTTTTCCTTTGGGAAGGTACCATCTGTGCAGTATGCAATTGTGTTGAAAAAAGATGTTGAATCTTTTTAAATATTGTAGAAAAATAATTTATCTCTGTGCATTTGTTTTACACTTGCATTAAATTAAAGTGGATTACATCAATTAAGGGTGGGGTGTGGTTCCCTAATATTTTTGCTGGGAGTTGGCAACCCTATTAGTTAGGTTGCTTAATATTTCCACTAAGTACTCTTTAAAATACCAGAATAGGGAGGATGGTGTAGGTTTAAATTTATTAGATTGATCAGTGTTGCTGAACTATAAAATGTTTGGGGTGGAGTGTATTTTTTTGCATACAGGTATAACAGAATAGCTTCAGTCTCTTGTTTTTTAAAACTTGAGTATGAACTTATACAAAATGCAGTAAGATATTTATAAAACACAGTTTTATTGATTACAAAATACGCTATATCAGATTCATATCAGTATGGGCAGATATCCAAATTTATGATATCGGAATCTGTATCGGACATTAAAAAGTGGTATCGTGCCATCTATAGTTTTAATAAAATAAAGGCACAAATTTGTTTGTTTCTTTATTCAACTTTTTGAACAGTGGTACTTAGTAAGCACATATTCATTAAATGCAAATTATTTACCGTAATTGTCGGGCTATAAGCCGCTACTTTTTGCACAAGCTTTGAACCCTGCGGCTTTTAGTCAGGTGCGGCTTTTCTATGGATTGTCCATGATTTTTGTCATATCGTAAGAGGATTTGTTTTGTTTGTTCCGCTGTTGTACGGCACTACGTTGCCTGGCGGAAGGATCGGGGTTCAAGAGTGATATGTTGGTCACATGTCCGTCCGCCAGGCAACGTAGTGCCGTACAAAGTAGCGCGAAAAACAAACTTCAAAGTAGCGCTACGCATTCAGCGGGAGGTGTGGATGATGAGCGGCGATAAACTTGCGAAAAGCAAGTTATGCCCAATTCCACCAGTGGATTCTGACAGCGTGGAAAAGTGTGAAAACATCCACGATCACCAACGGATTTCGAAGGGCTGGACTGCTGCATGATGGAGAGGAGGACACCACCACGGCCCTTCAGAGGGTGTTCAACTCTGACACTGACAACGAGGATTTCTTTGGTTTTGAAAGTGACAACGAAGGAGAGAAGCGGAGAGTGGATGACGAAGCCACCCTGAGTCTGTTTGTATCCGACACTGGAGGAGGGGACTTTGGTGGTTTTATTGCGCAGGAAGAAGAGAAAGATGGTGGTGAATGACTGACTTTTCTTCTTGTTAAAGCCGTGTCACTGCACCTGAGCCTAAAAGGTAGGCCGAATCGTTTTTTCTGGTGTGCTGTAGGTTACTGTTATGTACTACATTTGTTACTCGTTTATGAAGCACAGTACATGTTTCGTACTTGTAATTACCGCTACTTGTACATATACCTAAAAAGTTATGCAAATATGTACCCCTAACTTGTTTTTCAAAAATATTAATAAAAGGGATGTGTCTCCAAACAGCCATCTCTTTCCTGACAATTCCCTTTGTGCATATTCTCTTACATATGATAAGTCAACATTGAAACACCTGCGGCTTTTAGTCAGGTGCGGCTAATGTATGTACAAAACAGGATTTTCCCCTTTTTTTTTATCTTGTGCGGCTAATATTCGGGTGCGCTTTGTAGTCCGGGAAATACAGTACATGGTAATGCACTTCAGGCATAAATCTAGACCCCCTAGATAAAAAATTATGGGTCATTCCCACATCCCACAGCTTTACTGTGTTCCAGCAGTGTATCCAATAGGGGTGGCAACTCCTCCTGAGTAGAATTTTTATTTTTTGAGGACGGCTTCTTTTACCTGTCACTACGGATGGTCTGTTTACGTTTTGATCGAGAGCCTTTTTTTAGGCAGCTGAAGAGGAGAGGTCTATCTTATGGCCAACCTCTGGCTGTATATTGGTCATATTACCCAGCAAAACCCAGTATGCAGGTTCATCTGTAACAGTCCTTGTGCCACGGATCAACACTGTTGCTTCTACTTTAAACAGAAGAGCAGTGACGTGGGTGCAGGTCTCTGCGATTCCGGCCTTACAGGTGCAGTGGGCGGCTTCAACCTTCCCTGTGATGCTCACAGTGACCCATGGCTGCAATGCTGGTTCATTCAGTCTTTGAGAGTGCAGGACCTGAAACACACACAGACAAAGTTCATTTAAAGTCAAGAACTTAAATGATCCAAGGCTGACATAAATGTGTTTTATCTACTTTCAAATCCATTTATCACAAATGTAACAATACATGTGTTTAGAAAGTTAGCACATATATGTCATTTTTCTTTTTTTTTTTTATGTATCCATCTATAGAACGCTGCATGTTATATTCTAAATCTCCCTGTTCTCTTTCAGAAGCCTGCCTGCAAAAAATTTTTTGTGACACAGGACACAAACACTGAAGCAAGATATATAATTAGGATTATTTATGATAAATATGAATACATCGTTGCAATTTCTTTAACCATAGAGAATAACTAAATCCTTCAGGACAATGCCACATCAATGCACTGAACTCACTATGTTAAGCATCTAACAGAGCCGCCACATGTTCTCACTGTACTTTCCTCCTAATGCACACTTGCACTATTCTGAATGTTCGGGGGGAAATCAAACGCATTTTACTCGCAGTACCCAAGCTCACTTACCTTTGTTTGAATGACGACGTAGTCACAACGTGGAGTCTAAAAAAATAGCCAAATCTTGTACCCAATCCTTGGTGAATTGGATGTGTGCCTCCAGAGATTTATAATTGTGAAACTGGTTCACTTTGGTTTATACTCCACTACTGTATTTCATACAGGTCCACATTTCCAATGCACTCTACTTTTTGCAAGTACCGTCTCTTTGCATCCGGATGCAATCTGTCTCTATACTACTGCCCTTTTCCCGTTTAGCTGCTTTTAAACATGTGTCCCGATTCTTTGTTATTGGGCTGACAACAAACAAAAACAATCTTTTATTATGCACATATGTGCTTTATTAAGCACATATGTGGGACATGGACACGATACCACCCAGAGCGCAGTCCAGTAGATCTCAAAGAGGAAGCAAAGAGCTTTACTATTTAAAGGGCTGTACACACCCTGTATGCATAAGCAGAATATATTATCATGCATCAGTGACAGTTAGTTGCATCCCCTTTTGTGGTACTAATGTTTATACCTTACTAATGGTTTCAAAGCTCTTTCACCCCCAGCTGTTTCCTGTTTCTCGTTGTGAGGCCTCATGACCATAAATGGCACATCCTGAGTACATCCTGTTCTCACCTCACTCTATGCAGTTACAAGCAGATCACTTCTTTTAATGCCATATGATATGCACATTTGTTAGCCTCTGGATTAATATAACACTGAAACACTGCTACATAATATATTTTCCACAATTCCCCCATTTTCCTCTCTCCTAATGAGAGATGAACTAATTCCTGTGTTCTCCCATTAACCTGTCCTGTCCATGTAACAATGATAGCTAGGAATCTAGCAAGAGAAACCATAATAGACAAAATAAAACCTTTCCATTGCCCAAACATAGATGTCATGCATTCCTCCAACGGGTTGTGTCTTCAGTGTATTGTTTTGGATAATGTCTTCTGAGGCCTTCCAGGGCTCTGGTTACAGAACCATCTGGGGCCGTATTGTTGGGGATGAAAATGCAGCATATCTCTCCAAACATTACACACACACCCTTTTTACCCACTAGATGTCAGTTCTCTTAGTTATCATGATTCTTTTCCCTTTTTTGGCCCTCTGTTATCACGGTTCGCGAGGCGAGCCGTATGGAATTATTAACGGACCCAAGATGCAGACTGCTTCAGAAGTGAGCGAGCTTTATTAACATGAAGGGCGAAACAAACAGGAACGTGGTGGACAAAAACCAACTGTAAAATCTGTCTTTGTTATTATGCTCAGGGTCTGTTAGTTTACATTTTGACTGCACAATTGTGAGCTTTTTGTTATGCACAAAAACAGCATTGTTTTCTTTTATTTATGGAGCATTATTATTTAATAAATGCTGCTAATTTATTTTTCAGTAATTTCTTCATGTACATCTATGCTGTATGTTAATAAAAGTGGCTGTGTGACATCTGGGACACAGCTTTGACTAAGAACTCTCTTTTTGTTCTTACCTTACGGCTTGAAAAAATATCGAGATATATATCGTATATCGCCATCCAGCTAAAAAAATATCGAGATATGAATTTTGGGTCACATCGCCCAGCCCTAGGAGGGAGGCACGGCTGGGAGAATTTGAACATAACGAGACAAGGGGAGTGAAACTAGAAAAACTGACGAGAGACACAGACCTACAAAATAAAACAGGAACTCACACATGCAAAGACACAGACTTAGAAACGTGGACTTGACACAGGAATACACAGGCAGAAAAGACTAAACACTAAACTGAGGAAGAACAGAACCAAAACCCAAAGAAATAGAAAACCAGAACCAAAATACATCACAATAATAGAAAACACAAAACGCTGGGTCAAAAGACCCAGGATCATAACATCTGTCCTCCTTTAATGGGTGGACCGTATGTGGGATGACTGCTGTGGGCAATTGTCATGGCATAAAAATCACAGGCTATTACCAGACCTCTCATTATTTTCTAGCTTCCCCCGATCCCCATTCTGGTTGTTTCCTGCTTCTACCTTTGTGATCAGTCTAGAACCTCTGTCTAAGGGGCTTTTGATCTTCTTAACAGTTAAAGACACTAATCTTCCGGGACAGGCGATTCTCTGCGCTCTTCTCCTCTTCTTGCTTCAACCTCAGGGGTGGACTACCCTGAGGTCTTTTTCCACAGACCCGGGGATTGACTCGCTACAATTCTTTTAAACGGGGACTTACAATCTGATCGCGTCCCCCACAGGTAACTTTCTCCAAAGCCCATTGTAATTTTGAGAAGCTCACCTTATATTTGCTCTCAAGAAAATGTTTTACAGCGCTGTTAATTCCAATCTTGCAGGCCTGCGTGAAAAAGAGAGAGCGAGAGAGAGAGAAAGATAGCTGATTATTAAATCACCAACACACAAAACATCACCACCGGAGGGATGATACCTGACAGGTTCTTCTAAGTGCACTGTTATATATAAAATATTAGGCCTATTTCAGAACACCTCCAAACATGAACCTCTTAAAAAGGGAAAACAAACCAGAAAAACTTTTGCTCCCAATAAAACAATATGATGTAGGCATTAGAACTTCCAGTACCATGAGACGCAGTGCTGTCGTCACTGCTTCTAGTGTTAATTAATTGCTGATGCTTATCTGTTCTGAACTCAGACTTACGTGTCACTACCTATGTTCATCTTCCCCATATCATATTTACTGGTTGACCACAAGTGCTCTGGGGTCTACTGGCATAGTTCCACTTGCTAAATACACAGAAAAATATTGTCAGCAGCTGCACAATTCACACAACACCAATGTTCAACATTAACCACTTCCTAAACACTTCATGGCAATGTTTCATCACTAGATTGTGAATTTCTTCTCCAGGTCTGCACTGCTGCACCCATTTTAGTCACAGACCCAGTCACTTTATTCAATTATATTGTAACATGCTGTCATGTATTTTACAAAGCAAGTTTAGTTTCATATAGTCAGAGGTGTATATCTGGGTGCACACTTCACCCATGCATCAGAATCAGGAAACTCAGTTTTCTTTAGTCTCCACTCTAACAGACTCTGCTACATCCTGTTCACTTGTGAGATCAAACCATCTGTTCCTAATCTAACAACAATCACTTAATTTTCATATCAGTTCATAACCCACTAAGTTGACAGGACAACAGAAATGCATATTTGAAATATTATCACAAAAAAGAATTTCCTTCATACAGTAAATGACTTGTGTTGCTCAATCAGTAAAAGACATCTCACAATTTACTATTTTAAACTACATTTAAACTACATTTATTGTTTGATCACTGGTTGGTCTTACCAACCAGCGGCAAAAGAAGATCACTGGTTGGTAAGACCAACCAGTGATCTTCTTTTGCCGCTTAACTCCCAGCATGGCAAATGTGAAACTCAGACAGTCCTCTCAAGTCCATTCACACTCAATAATGTCACTGGTGAACTTTCCCACTTGTGATTAAGGCTATGTTCACACTGCAGGTGAAAGCGCATCAAATCCGACTTTTTTGACCCTGTGTGACCCATATCCGATCATGTTATGACAGTGTGAACAGCACAGATCTGATATTTTCAAATCCGATCTGGGTCACTTTCATATGTGGTACTGAATCCGATACATATCTGATGTTTTAGAAAGCGACTGCTGTTTGAATGGTCAAGTCGCATTAAATTCGTCTTTTACATCACTGACACAAGACAGATGCCGATTTGCAACTATCCTTTGAAGCACTACTCCTGTCTAAAACAGCAATAAGGATAAGTATTAGGCCATATATAAATAACAAAATAACAAAACAACTTAAAGCAAAAATGGGAAACGTAAAGTCCCAAACAAGTCTTCATATTAAGGGCCATCATTCAAACAATACTGTTTGCTCTGGGTCTAAACGAAGCGCGTTATGTGAGACGTCTTCTTTTGCGCATGCGGGCCGCTTTGAGGGTTCACAATAGAGCGCGTTTGCTGTCACATTTTATTTGTAGTGTGAATAAGCAGACAAAAACATCGGATTTGATCAAAAAATTGGAATTGAGCATTAAGACCTGCAGTGTGAACTATTAAATCCTGTTTCTTTGTATTCTTCAACGGCCAAGAAAGACACGGCTCAAAGTGGTCTAACTCAAAAGATGATCTTTAATTTTACATTTTCTGGAAAATGGAGACTTAGCACACCCAGCAACGCCAGCTCAAGTCTCAAGCAGAAAACAGGAAGCCTGATTATTTATATTCTTCCTCTAGACATCACACACACTTTAAGTTTCGATCAAACACTCTACTTAGTTTCACTTTCTGCCTGCAGCTCCTATTTTCTGCAAAAGCATGCAGTTTCCTGTCAGCCTGCAACCAAGTTTTATACTGAAGTCTGGGCCTCTCATAAAACAATCTAATCAGCAAATAAGCATTAAGAATATATATTTATTTCTTGACAGAACGTGGACTAAGAGCCCATGCTACCATCCACGATGGTATTTGTACATGCTGCTGGACCCTTCAGAGTTTTAGGTCAGTGGTGCTCTCTGTTCAACAGAGAGCACCACTGACCTAAAACTCTGAAGGGTCCGCTGTTGCTCTTCAGGGAGAGATTGACCATCCTTGAAGCTTCTTTCCAGGATAAAATGTATATGTAGGTAAAGCTGTGGAATTTCAGCCAAAACATGGCCTGGGTATGGTTTCAATTATGTTAATCTATCATTTTGCTCCAGCCACTGTGCTCGTGAAGTAAGTTGATCCAGGTCTGTGGTTACCTGTACTAACACACTAAGACATTTATTTAATATCATTTTCATCACTTCTATCCACATTTTAAAACGTCTCACTCTCATCATTTGTTCCACTCACATCACCCAATTTTCTTCAGAGTGCATGCAGATACTCTTACTTCCTGTTACACACACACACACACACACACACACACACACACACACAGCGGATCTTACACACACACACACACTCTCCACGTCACTCTATTTCCTCAGTTTCTACACCCTTTCATTCCTCAAAGTCTCTCAGTCACCCCTGACAGCTGGTTGTATCACTTCCTCTATTCAGCACTCGCTGCAATCACACACCTCACTTCCTTTCTCTGCCTTGGTATTTTCTACTTTACTAACTTGACAGAACTCAACACCATCTACAGGGAGTGCAGAATTATTAGGCAAATGAGTATTTTGTCCACATCATCCTCTTCATGCATGTTGTCTTACTCCAAGCTGTATAGGCTCGAAAGCCTACTACCAATTAAGCATATTAGGTGATGTGCATCTCTGTAATGAGAAGGGGTGTGGTCTAATGACATCAACACCCTATATCAGGTGTGCATAATTATTAGGCAACGTCCTTTCCTTTGGCAAAATGGGTCAAAAGAAGGACTTGACAGGCTCAGAAAAGTCAAAAATAGTGAGATATCTTGCAGAGGGATGCAGCAGTCTCAAAATTGCAAAGCTTCTGAAGCGTGATCATCGAACAATCAAGCGTTTCATTCAAAATAGTCAACAGGGTCGCAAGAAGCGTGTGGAAAAACCAAGGCGCAAAATAACTGCCCATGAACTGAGAAAAGTCAAGCGTGCAGCTGCCAAGATGCCACTTGCCACCAGTTTGGCCATATTTCAGAGCTGCAACATCACTGGAGTGCCCAAAAGCACAAGGTGTGCAATACTCAGAGACATGGCCAAGGTAAGAAAGGCTGAAAGACGACCACCACTGAACAAGACACACAAGCTGAAACGTCAAGACTGGGCCAAGAAATATCTCAAGACTGGTTTTTCTAAGGTTTTATGGACTGATGAAATGAGAGTGAGTCTTGATGGGCCAGATGGATGGGCCCGTGGCTGGATTGGTAAAGGGCAGAGAGCTCCAGTCCGACTCAGACGCCAGCAAGGTGGAGGTGGAGTACTGGTTTGGGCTGGTATCATCAAAGATGAGCTTGTGGGGCCTTTTCGGGTTGAGGATGGAGTCAAGCTCAACTCCCAGTCCTACTGCCAGTTTCTGGAAGACACCTTCTTCAAGCAGTGGTACAGGAAGAAGTCTGCATCCTTCAAGAAAAACATGATTTTCATGCAGGACAATGCTCCATCACACGCGTCCAAGTACTCCACAGCGTGGCTGGCAAGAAAGGGTATAAAAGAAGAAAAACTAATGACATGGCCTCCTTGTTCACCTGATCTGAACCCCATTGAGAACCTGTGGTCCATCATCAAATGTGAGATTTACAAGGAGGGAAAACAGTACACCTCTCTGAACAGTGTCTGGGAGGCTGTGGTTGCTGCTGCACGCAATGTTGATGGTGAACAGATCAAAACACTGACAGAATCCATGGATGGCAGGCTTTTGAGTGTCCTTGCAAAGAAAGGTGGCTATATTGGTCGCTGATTTGTTTTTGTTTTGTTTTTGAATGTCAGAAATGTATATTTGTGAATGTGGAGATGTTATATTGGTGTCACTGGTAAAAATAAATAATTGAAATGGGTATATATTTGTTTTTTGTTAAGTTGCCTAATAATTATGCACAGTAATAGTCACCTGCACACACAGATATCCCCCTAAAATAGCTAAAACTAAAAACAAACTTCCAAAAACATTCAGCTTTGATATTAATGAGTTTTTTGGGTTCATTGAGAACATGGTTGTTGTTCAATAATAAAATTATTCCTCAAAAATACAACTTGCCTAATAATTCTGCACTCCCGGTATTTTCTCCGCAATAGTACAATTAACACAATTACTACCTCAACACCTACATACAAACATTATTTCTTAGACACACCTATTTTCTGCCGTGTTCCCTACACAATTTCGACGTCTTAAGAGGCGTTCAACGCCCGAGGTCCAACCTCTGCCACTCAATTAAGCCAGTGCTCGTCCCGGACGATGGCCCAGATTTCTACAATTCCTTTCTTTAATTTTAGTAGCGTCCAAAGCAAGAGGCCCGGCCTCTGTCATCCAAACAACGCAAAACTTCGTCCCAGACAAAGAAGTGGCCGCAGACCACTAGCGATTAACGGGGTCCTAAGTCCCGAGGTCTGCCAACCTGGATCTCCGGTCCAACCGGTCCGACTGTGCGTCCACAGGCAGTGGGGATACCAATCCCTGAACTTCGCATTCTCAGGAGTCCAACTCCCGTCCTATTCTAAACTCTATATTCTTTGTTCATTACTCTATATTATTACTTTTACTTTTAGTAATCAATCAAAGGAACCTTTACACAAAATTGTTACCATGAACATTCACCGGAGATCTCACCAGTGGAATTGTAATTTAGTTTAGCTTTTCAAATCAGCAAAATTCGGATATTAATCAACAGGCGGTGCTTACCTTTATACTTTTGTGGGCCCACTCCAATCGATCGATCGGCCGAATCCTGTCCGTCCGATAACTGAACTCTGTTCTCTTTCGTTCAACACTCAGACTCACAACATCCAGGTCACGGCTCCAAAAAACTGTACCAATTCTTTGATGTTGGGCTGTGAACAAACAATCAAGAGTCGATCACGTTCAAACAATAACAATCTTTTATTATGCACATATGTGCATAATAAAAGATTTCAAAATGATATAGGTTAAAATAAAAGAAAAAAATCTTTCATAGAGCCATAGTAGTAGCTGCATTAAAGATCTTTCTGTACATAGTATACATTGTACCCTAGGCAAATTTGCCTCCATTTATATTATTTTTTAATTAATATTTTGTACATTTGTACATTATAAGGACTCTCCTTGTCACGGTCTGGGTGGCAGACCGTGGGGGATGTTGGAGAAAGGACCCAAACGCCGGACTTAGTGGAATGAGCAGTGGGTTTATTTACAGTGAGGTAAATGTACACCACACATTAAATCTCCAAAAGTGCTCCCTCGACTCCCGTGACGAATCTTCTCCTAAGTGCTGGTATTTCATGCTCTCTGCCCCTGTGCCTTCGCACACCCCGTGTGTCTTGCAGTCCTGTGTTCCGCTGTCCTCCTGAGGAAAAACAACAGACACAGCCGTTATGGCACCAACTCCAGCAGGCATACACTGAACAGCACTTTAAACACTGACATGGAGTCTAACTCAACGATCCTGCGCCGGAGGAAGCTCCATCGCTCTGTTAAGTAGCTCCCCCGACGAGCCCGATCAGAAGCAGGTGTGTGAGAACCTAGGCGTGACCGGCAGCCGGCAGGGCCACGCCCATCAGGCCTGCAGGTGGCTGTCCTTCATCCTTCAGTCACACCCGCAGACACCCACACGTACACACACCAGCATGGAACACAAGAGCACAGTGCAGCAAACATACATCCAATACACTAATAACAATAAATAACAATAAGTCCACACTGTTCACGAACCCCGAGTCCCCGGAACCAGGTCCGTGACATCCTATTTTTAGGAGTGTTTTTATGTGTCTGTATTATATTATAAATACACATTAAAAGTGAATCTCTGTCCAAAAAATGCACTCAGTTTTAATCACTATGAGCATCATTCATTATTCTCCCCAGTAATTAAGGTTAGGATATGTTTTTTTTTTTATTCCAATCCATTCTTCTTTAGCAGCATTTAAATAACCTTTATCAGATTTGATGGTTTTGTTACAGACTTTTCAAAAAAGTGTTTTGCTTTTCTTTCACAAATGTGGGGATTAAATTGTGTTAAAATGTACAAAACAGTGATGTCATGTTTTGTGACGAGGACCCAGGCACAGAGAGACTTGATGAATTTAAGAATCTTATGATTTAATAAAGAAATTTGCAGACTTGCACAGAGATGGTAAAATTATGATGACTGATAACAGAGACGAAGACAACAGACGATGAGGACAGGGAGGAACAGGGGTTTAAATGCACCAAGGAGACAGTCAGAGAACTCGGGACAACTGGAGACATTTAAGGATGCAGGGACTGACAGAGACGGGGAAGACGTCTCATCGTGACGAGTAAAGTTTATCTTGCCTGGCTGGGCAGTTCTCTTAACTGTTTTTTTGGTTTCTTTTTTTGGGGGGGGTGGGGGGGGGAGTTACGTTAACCGGTTTGTTTACATATTCCACTCTCCTTGTTCCACATGTTGCATTTGCAGATTCTCATTTTCACCAAACGATCGTCTCTTTCCGCCTGGTCTTGTGTCTCTGTGCTTCTGTAACATAAAGAACGAGCTGACATTTTTTTCACGACACCAGCGATCAGCTGAATAGGCCCTCAGGTTACCTGCATGCATCCTCCTCCTCACCTGTCAGCAGTTGTTTAACACCTGCTGCTAATTCAAGAAACACACCCACGTTACCTGGTGATAGCCACAGTTTAACTGGGTGCTCCATATAACGCAATGTCGAGCACCGGCTGTCCAATGTCCCTGGATTTATTTGCTCTCTCTCCTCCTTAAACAGGTTTTTAATGTTAGTTATAATTCAGAATTGGCGACTGGAACAGGTATGACACATACAAACATCAGGAAGTA